TCAACCCCTCCATTCCTCCCTATTTACAAAGATTTTGTTCCTATTTTTCCATTTTCTCATATTAATCCCATTCCCTTCTATCCTTTCCCCTAGCGAGATTGTCTTAAAAAAAAAAAAATAGGTGAGGTGGGGAGAAAGTGACAAGTTTCTGAGCACTTCTAAGCATGGATCTAAGCATTAGTGAATTTTTAGAATAAGAATTGTTGTCTTCTCATCAGGAATGTTATTTCTTGGAAGTTGTTTTTCACAGGACATAATTAAGGCTTTAAACTTCCCTAAGGTATTACCACAGCTTCACAACCTATCACATAATGTGTGATATAAAAGGTATGTACTATGCTGCACATGAAGAACAGATCTAATTTTTTTTTTTTTCATACCGGGGATCAAACTCAGGACCTCAAGCTTGCCATGCAGGCACTGTACCGCTGAGCTACATCTCTGGCCCCAGACCTAATATTTTTAAAGAGAACCAGAATTATCATTCAAATGATAAACCTTCACAGAGACATTCTTTTATAATTCACATGAAGTGCAGGTCTTAAGAAATGATGTATTTGGCCTGGGGATTTAGCTCAGTGGTTCCGGCGCAGGCCTCGCAAGCACAAGGTCCCGAGTTGGATCCCCGGCACCAAAAAAAAAAAAAAAGTGAACATTAAGAAATGATGTATTTGGTTCTGGCATTCACAAAGAGTAAAGACAAACAGATCAGAGATCAAATCAAATATTGCATATCATAGATATGCATCATAGAAAAACATGGGGCCAGGGATTTAGCTTAGTGGTTCTGGCATCCGCCTAGCAAGCGCAAGGTTCCGAGTTTGATCTCTGGTACCAAAAAAAAAAAAAAAAATAACAATATGGCTGGGGTATAGCTCATTAGTAAAGCACTTACCTGGCATATGCAAAGCGTTGGGTTCCATCCCTAGCCCCACAGGAAAAAACAAAAAAACAGATCAGAATAATCTCCCAATTTACAAATGTCAGTATGAAATCAACAAATCAAGTAATCTCTCTATAGAAAGCCATCTATAGCTCATTTGAAAATTGAACTAATAACCTTTAACAAAGCTTATAAATAATAATGATGAAAGAGTTTCAAGTGAATAGGGCCGGGGATTTAGCTCAGTGGCACTGTGTCTGCCTTGAAAGCGCAAGGTCCCGAGTTCAATCCCCGGTACCAAAAAAAAAAAAAAGGCCTCAGGAGTCATCTATAAAGATCTCTCACTAACCAAAATTGGGATAAGTTGAACATCAATTATGATAACAACTGCAATTAGGGGTAAGAGGTACAGTGCTTGCCTAGTATGCACAAACCCATGGGTTTCACCCCCAGCGTGACAAAAAAAAAAAGTAAGCAAGCTAGTAATGGAATGGAACACACCAAATATATTTGAGTCAATGTTTTATAATAATTCTGAGAAAACAAAACAGCCCCCTTAGTCACCTTTGAATGATGTTAAAAGCAAGCACTCTGAAAACTGGAAAATATGGTGCAATCAATTCTGCCTTTCTTGTACAAACTGTACCTCAGGATTATAAAATAGTTGATGTGAAGACATTTGTTATTATAGCATTATTACAGTTAATTAAGAAGAATGAAAAATAGAATTAGAAAATTACCATTTTGTAACCCCTAACAAATTAATGAACCCAGGTAATTATATTCAATGGCTATAACAAAAAGAAAGGGCACCATGCATTATATACTTCCTAACAGAAGTGTACACCATTACTCATGAAGTTGTATAGTCAAAAAAGAAAACACACAAACACATCAAACCTGAATCAGATTAAGCCTCATCTAACTACCAATACACAGGAAATACAGGGAACAGAGGAAAATACTAAACATTTTAATGATACAGTGAGCAAATCTAGATTGTAGTGAAATTTTCATGACAAATGACCCAGTTTCTTCAAATACAATAAAAAAATGCAAGGCAAAAAGAAGTGGGAATCTATAAATCAAATAAGACTTAAGGCATATATCAATCAATTGCCATGTATGAATCTTTTGGGTTTTTTTTTTTTGGTACCAGGGATTGAACTCGGGACCTTGTGCTTGCAAGGCAGGCGGAGGAACCACTGAGCTAAATCCCCGGCCCTGCCATATGTGACTCTTACATGGGATCCTGATTTTTTTAAAAAAGAAAAATTTTATAGGACAATTGGGGAAATGAGAACACTGGTTGAATATCTGATGATATTAAAATTACTGTTAAATATTTTTAGGTTGTACATGTGATTATTTTTCAAAGAATTCTTATGTTTTGAAAATACATGTTAAAATATGTATAGTTGAAATTATATACCTGGGATTTCCTTCAAAGTAATTAGTACAAGGAATTGGAGGTAAATGGAGGATAAGGTATGTATGAAAGATTAGCCATGAATTAAGGATATCTGTTGACATAGGGTGATGGGAGTTCATTATTCTGTTAGCTGAACTCTTGTATATATTTAAAAATGGTCATAACACAATTATTAAATAGTTAGATGTAATGGCATATACCTGTAATCTCAGTATTTTGGGAGACTGAGGAAGATAGCAAATTGAAACCAAACCTGGGCAAGTTAGTGACTTATCAAGACCCTGTCTCTAAAAGAAAAATTTTAAAAAGCACTGGGATGTAGCTCAGTGCAAATGCCCTGGGTTCAGTCCCTAGTACTACAAAAAATAAATAAAAAGCAAAAATAAAATAAATGACATATACTTATATACATAGGGAATGTTTCTGGAAAGCAATCCAAGATATTGGTAACAGTATTTGTCCTTAAGAGGCATGAGGTCTGTGGACTGGGGGAAAGTGGAGTAAGACTTACACTTTTCACTGTATAACTATATTACTCATATAATAAATTATTTTAACAGCCAAAAGTTCATAATTATGTATTTCCCCTTCTCTACTAAACACGTGCTCTAATACAGTCTTTAGAGAGGAAAAAAACCCCATTGTTAACCCACATCATACTCTCCAGGTATCATTCTATTTCTGTATTTTCCTTTCTAGCCAAGTTATTCAGCAAAAATTCTCACTATCTCCTCTCCCTCACATATCATTCCTTTCTCATCCCACTCCAGTCTTGTCCCCCACCATCCTCATTCTCCCAGAACTCCCTTTGTCAAGGTTACCAATGAGTCCCTTTTACCACTTTTCTGCATTAACATGCTTAGCCTGTTAACAGCATTAGCCGCAGTTGACCATGACTCTCATGATATACCACCTTTTAAATTCCAAGACACCACATTCCTCTTCCTCGACTCAACCTCTAAACATAGAAATATTCCAAAGTTGAATCTTAAGACTTACTCCTTTCTCTATCCACATTCTCTCCTTAGGTAAATTCATCTAGTCCCATGGCTTTAAACACACACTATCTGCTAAAGTCTCCAAAATTTACATCTCTGTGACCTCTACTCTGAGTTCCAGACTCATGTACAACTGCCTACTAAGTTCTGACACTTAGATATCTGCAGGCATTTTAAACTTAATATTCTCAAAACAGGTATCATCATAGTCTATACTCTTTCAATAAACGGCATCATTACCCGCTCACCAATATTTAAGACTGTGTTATCTTTTGAGTGTTTCCTTTTCCTTATTCCTCATATCCAATCCTTTCATAAATATTCTCCTTTTGGCCCCCAAAATACACTCTGTCACTTTTTTTTTTTTTTTTTTTGTGGTACCGGGGATAGAACTCAGGACTTTGTGCTTGAGAGGCAGACAGCGGCACCACTGAGGTAAATCCCCAGCCCTCTGTCACTTTTTCATCTCCATTACCATCGTCTTAGTTTACACAACTGTTATGGGCCACCTCCTCCTCCCCCTCTTCTTCCTCTTCCTCTTCCTTTTCCTCTTCCTCCTCCTCCTCCTCTTCTTCTTCTTCTTCTTCTTCGGCTTGGGATTGAATCCAGGGCCTTGAGCTATATCCATGGCCATTTATTTATTTTATTTTGTGTGGGGGGGTACCAGGAATCGAACTCAGGACCTTATGCTTGTGAGGCAGGCAAGGTGCCACTGAGCTAAAACCCTGGTCCCATTTATTTATTTAGAAACAAGGTCTTGTTAAGTCTCTAAGTTGCCCAGGTTAGGCTCAAACTTGCCATCATATCCCTCCTTAAAATACTTTGATGGAAATTCACAAGCCAATTCTAAAATTCTCTTCTTTTTCTTTTCTTTTCTTTTTTTGGTACCAGGGATTGAACTAAGGACCTTGCACTTGCCAGGCAGGTGGCAGAACCACTGAGCTAAATCCCCAGCCCCTTTTCTTTTTTTTTGAGACAGGGTCTCACTATGTAGTTCAGGCTGGCCTCAAACTCGTAGCAATCCTCCTGCCTCAGCCTCTGGAGTGCTGGGATTACAGTTATGTTCCACCACACCTGGTCAATTCTAAAATTCTTTTTCTTTTTTTTTTTGGTACCGGGGATCAAACTCGGGTCCTTGCGCTTGTGCAGCAGGAGGCAAAACGACTGAGCTAAATCCCTGGCCCAATCAATTCTAAAATTCTTAAGAGAAAATAAACATTTTCCTTCTTGTAAGAAATAATTTTGCATTTTATAAAAACAATTGTACTTTTATTTATTTTTTAACAATTGTACTTTTAACAGTCACATATGTAATTGAGTATACTGGTAAAAAAATAAGAAGAAAAGGTTGGAAGATGAAAACATTTTAGGCACCCTAATACCGTGAAATGTCAGTCAGTGTTATGTGATCATGTCAGAGAGGGGTCCTTCTTTTATCAAAATTCTATGAGGTAGCTCTATATTACATAAAATTGGTACCAAATGTATGATGCTGTAGGTTTTGGTATTATCACTAGCATTAGAGAAAAACTTAATACAGTAAAATTAATCAAATGAAAAAGCAAATATATTGAACATGTGTGTGGTATTTCTTATTTGAGAGATACTGTAATAGAAGTATAAATACTATTTAAATTCTAATAACCAGGGCAAAAACAAAATTAAATAGGACTGGCAGTAACAAATAAAAAAAGATTAAACAGAAGCATATTAAATGACAAAGTAGCAAAGCAGTAACAGAAAATCATTAAGGCTAAATAACATACTATGCTCTAAAAGTTACAGAAGTATTAAAAATTCTATTAGAATTAGAAATGATTCTTATACTAAATATTAAAATAAAAAAGAATATGAAACATAGTATCTAAAACATGAGAAGAACTCAAAGCAGAGAAAATGAAAGACACCTCGCTATTCCCAATGTGGTTTTTATTTAAGAATGAATAAAACATGTAAAAAATGATACTGCAGTTAGATTAAGACATACAAAAACAACATGCCGGGCTGGGGATTTAGCTCAGAGGTTCTTGTCGCCTGCCTTGCAAGTGCAAGGTACCGAGTTTGATCCCAGGTACCAAAAAACAAACAAACAAAAAAACCAAACATGCCACTAAATAATTTTTCTAAAACAGCTGAAAAAGCAAATTTCATAAAATTTAGAGAGCTTTCAGTGGGATAAATAAGTATGCCAAGACACTGATTAAATCCTAAATTTCACAATGGACAGTTTCTAGCCAGCTCCCTGGAGCAGGATCTTGGTCACTCAAGGATCACTGGACAAGAAATAAATCAAGTTGGACTAGAGCCACCCAGTTGTCTTCCTGCACTGTCTCGGGGACGGAAGCTTCCATCAGAGACGGTGGAGGAGCGATATATCCACCATCTTGTGCAATCTCCACGCGTTGATAAATTACCTCAGAAGGTTGAAGGTATAAAAATGGAGTAGAAGCAGGAAACTGAGGAACACGCCACCGTCATTGTCCTGGTAAGTGATATGCACGTTGCTGATAAACGGGCTGAGCTACCATCACAGAAGAACTAGACATGGAAGGTGAAGGACAAGGTAGTGGGACAGAAGTTACCTCTGGAGTATAAAAATAAGCTACGCTGTCATGGTGAGTGTAAGGATATCCAGTTGAAGTGGTTAGATA